CCCCAGGGTGGGAACCACTGATTTAGAGGCTTGTGATATGATAAAACCCTACAGCAAAGTGTCTGAAACCATGCCCATGAGCAAGGCAGTGCACTTTCCCTTAACTATGGCCTTATATATCTTCCATATAGTTCTGATAAACACTTGATTAGATGACGGGGAAACGTATTTTATTTATTTATTTAGAGATTTTTAAATTCTAGTATTGTTTATTTCTACTCTTTAATTTCTTCTTATGTGCAATGCCTTTTGTTTTGTAGTTTTCTATCCTGCTGCAACGCAAACATGTCCTACATACATTATATATATATATACATTTAGCACTTTCTCCGGTTACAGGTCACACATTTGACACCATGCACTTACAAGGAGATAGAAAACTCTTCACACATCAAACATCAACGCCCCAATTTGCCCTTTAGCAAGGCATTGGCCCTCCTAACTTGCATCTCCGTCGGCAGAGTATCAGCTCAACAGCACTCTGTGTCTGTGAGTGTGTGGGAGTGTGAGAATGTGCGACAGGAAGTCATTACAAAATGTGCGTAAACATGCCCATGAAACCTTTTCCTGGATAAATACAGCGCCATTCTTAAAAAGAGTCAGTGCACTCAGAAATAAAGACCATGTGTGTTTACGCAGACTATATCAGGAGCTCTTTTCCAGCGTGTAACCAGTACCGAGTAAATTTAGCCTGGGAGCGCACTGTGGTCAGAAAGAAACTGACTAAACCCTGCAACATGCTCTCTCTTGAACACATTGGTTTTATTATAAACAATCACCTGTTAGTGCGGCTAGAAAACCCTGCTTTCTACTCAAAAATACAACTTTGTTTTGGTTTGAATTCAGTGGCAGCTTTTTTACTGGTGCAATTAAAGAGTATTGATCACACACAACAGCATCTTTAGAAGATTGTGCAGCATTACAAGGAAACAGAACAACACAAAACTTGAATGTTAAATGAACAAAATCACTGGAGAAAAGTATAATTAAGAGATATTTCCCTAACAGTCATAGTTTGGTTCTTTCCATATAAGCACGCATGTATATTTGTGCACTTTAATACAATTGTATCCCACTTATAACAGAGATAGCATATATTTGACCGGAAGAATTGAACAACAGGTGAACTTTGATTAGAGTTAGTAATTCCTGATTCAATCAATTTGTCCCAAGAAAATTCAGAAACCTACGAGAAAAATGTGACCTCTTGGTGACTTACTTTTGAACTTAATTAACTGGATTAAGACATACTATAATTACGCCATTTACACCCATTTTTGTCTGATGTCTTTGACTATGTGACCTTGTTTAGTCCAGCCTTTAAAACAATCAGCATAGCATAGTCTAGCAGATCAAATGTTAGTCATATCAAACTTTAAAACACCATAGTTTTGTCACCAATGGAGCTGCAAGGACAGTTAGATCAAAAGAAACGTTTTTAAAAGGCAGTACATACTGTGTTCAGCCTCTCAAATAAAATAAACTGAATGTATATGAGTTTTGGAGCAATGAAACAAGACTTTTTAATACATATTTTTTGTTTTAATGAACTTGATTGACATTTTGCACTTTATTTTTGACATTTTATGAAACAAACGATCAATTAATTCATCTAATGTATACTAAATTAGCAGTCCTAGTTCCCCAAAATGGTAATTTAGGCTCAAAATGTTGGCAGGAACAACACTTATAATCCAATATTGGAGTGTAAGTAAACACACAGATGGAAAAAAAAGTCCTGCAAGTTGAAATCAAGGCCACGGAAACTTATAAAAAAAAAAAACGCCACTTTCTGGTCTCTCTTCAGTGTGAAACAGGAATGTGTGTGAATCCCTCTCAACCCGTCTCATGTTCCTCCCGGTTTTCACTCCCCCATCCCTCCATCCTCTCCCCTTCAAATTAGACAATGAAAACAATGAATTTGGTGTCTGTTTCTCTCTCTGTCTCCCCCTCCCCCACTCCTCTCTCAATTTCAACAACCCCCTCTTCTGTCTTTTTCAGTTTATTTCTTTTTTAACTTTTTTTTGTTTACCGCAGATATCGCCATGTCACTTTCTATTTCTTTATCTCCCTGTCTCTTTTTCCACCCTCTTTCCCTCTCTGCCTCTCTCTTTCTGTCTTTCTATGTGATTTCATGCTCCAGCTGCTCTATTATCAGTGTGTCTGAGGTTGTGTTAACATCAACAATACTGCTACACACACACAGACACACACACACACACACACACACACACACACACACACACACACACACACACACACACACACTGATGAACAGACAGATAGATAGACAGGGTGGATACTCTGCGTTTAATTGTTCCATCTTTTTTTTTGTTCTTGTCAACTTTATTTCGCTGCAGCCCATAATTTGTTTCAAGTTTACACAGAAAGTTGAAGCTCAGCAAGATAAAATAAATGAAGTTAAAGAAGTTAAATGTGACATAAGTTAGACTTTTGATTAGAGAAAGGCATTTTATCTGGATTTTAAACGTATCTTCTGGTTACAAGTTGGTGAAAATCCGTAATTTTGTTTGTTGTTTCGTGAAGTTTGATCATGTTTGAAGTTAAGTTTAGGTAGAACTGTGAGCTTAACATGACATAGCACTTCTAAATGAAAGCAGAAACAGACTTTTTATCAGCTTCAAGATGAATTTAAACATACATGAGGTTTAACCAAAAAATATATACATTAAGAAGGGTCTTAAACAAGAGCCCTGAGGAACACCTTTTTTCGCATAATGTTTAGCAAAATAATTACTTTCTCCTTTATAAGCTATAATTGATTTAAAAAAAAACTTGTACCCAGACATAAATACAGACATGTGATGTGTTCTTTAATTTATTTCTTAATTTGTTTGGTGTATAAACCTCAGTTAAGAAGTATCTTAATTAGGATCCATGAGGAACACAGGTTTTAAAAGCCTGTTCTATCCTTAAGTCAACTTTAATTTGCTTTAATATGTTCATGATGAAGTTAAGATAATCTTGTTTAACTATTGTTAACACATTATAAATGTTAGCTAACAAAAAGCAACACAAATATGGCTTTTCTTAGATGATTCTTACACATTTTGGCATTTACTTTAACATAATATGCGTCACAACTGCAGTTTTAAATGAAAAACAAATTCACTTTTCTGTAAAAGCTTTAATATTCCAATTTCACATTGTATTTCTTTTAGCCTATAACCTCACCATTAGATTAGATTACTTTATTGTCCTTACATAATGCAAACAGAGTGTATCGAGTGCTTCACATCGTCAAAGTTTAAAACATGCAATCACTCTATTTTCAGTCAAAGCGTTAATATTTCTGTTACTTCCTTAAATATCCCTCCGTTAACAAACTGAAAGACATGTGTATTTGTAACTATTCTAAAACTAGTGATGTTATTCTTTACTGTTTACACTAGTTTCTAAAAACACTCTGGCTGCAGGGAGTGTTTTCTTTAGCCTGGGTCACAGGGGGAGACTCAATGTGCTGCGTTCAGTCTGAACACATGACGAGATAATCCTGATTTAGCCTTTTTATACTTGCAATTTGTATCATACATATTTAGTATATGTTACTTTTGACTTCATTGTCTTTGACTTTATTTGAGCTTGTTCCTAAATCTCTCTCAAACACAAACAAGGCGAACTCCCTGAAAGAGAAACATCTCCAATAAGTAACCTCCCCCCCCTTATTATAATCCAATGTTTTCACATGCATCCACTGAAGGAAGCTTTAATAAATCAAGAAAACACAGATCAGTTATTTTCCAATAATGCTCGGGGTGTGGCGTTACTCCAATTTCTTTTTGTAGTCCCAGACTTTCTCTCCTGCAACAATGTTATCTTGACACCGGTGACCTTTGACCCTTCAGTGGAGAGAAGTGGATTTACGAGGGAATTTCTTTCTTTAATTGTGTTTTTAATTTTACATTAAGCAAAAAAAAAAAGGACTTCCCATATAAGCATTACACTTTTTTTATGTATTTTCTCTCCATACAGACATTTGTGTTTGCAGTTATATAGAAAAACGTGCACTATTTTTAGAAATTATTTAAAGGCAGCCTTTTCTTTCACAATCCTACAAATAAAAATAAATTCATATTTTTTTACTCACAAACATTTTAAGTCCTTTCCCTAATCTTTTACTCTGAAAATTAGCAAATCATTTAATTAATTTAATCATTTTAATTTATTAGTCAACATACAAATACAATCTAAGTAAATATTAGCCAAATGCTAAATGGACTGCACTTATCTATGAATATCTTAAAACTGCCTAAATATTACGTTTAATAATCGCTTTGAACCCTGTCTCTCCTTCTTCTCCTCCTCCTCCTGCTTTCNCATGACGAGGTCGGAGACTCTCCCTCGGACGTCTGTCACTCCCATCCTGTCCCCCTCTCCCCCCCGTCCCCCTCAAACCTTGACAACCTGTCCCCCTCTCTCTTCTGCCTCCACGTTCCTTTTCCTGTTCAATCTGGATCAGCACACGCCAAGATCCTGGTTAAACTTGACCCCCCCCCCCCCCGCCCCCCGTCCGAACCCCGGTCAATAAAAGTAACTCTCCCCTGGTTATTTTCGTCCAACTTTTTCTCGTTTCTGCCACATTAGTCCTTTAACACATTTATTTGTATTTTATGTCATTAACCATAACCAAAAGACATTTCCATAAACAAAACCATGTAAATTCAAGTCAGGGAAACAAAGTCATCACAAAAAAGTAAATCTCATAAACCAAAATCATGCCTCGGGAATTTTCCCTGTACTTTTTTTTTTTTGCATCCCCCCTCACAGAGAACGCTTTTGAAAAGAAAACTACTTTCAATGGCCACGCGGTTCTCTCTTCACCTCGCGTGTCCTCTGGTGGTAAAGTAACGTCTGACAATACGAATTTACACCCGCTCACTGTCACATAGAGATAAAACTATAAAAGCATGGAGCTGAACAAAATTCCTGTAAAGCCGGCTCACACGCCACGAGGTCCTCCGTCCGCCCTACAAATTGAGACCTCTCGTCGGTCGCGAATTTCGCGACGTGGCGGATGTGACACAAAGGAAACTTGGCGATGACGCTTCCACACGCCTTTGCCTGGTGCCGGGTGTGACGACTGCTCCGTACAATACAAAATGTGGTGTGTGGTGGTGTGGGTGTGTGGTGGTTGTGTGTGTTGTGTTGTGTTGTTGTGGTGTGTGTGTTTGTTGTGTGTGTGTGTGTGGGGTGGTGGTGTGTGTGTGTTGTGTGGTGTGTGGTGTGTGTGTTGTGTGGTGTGTGGAGTGGGGGGAGAGCCTGACCCAGGGTGACCAGTCACATTTATCCCCCCGTTACAAAATTATAACAACAAACAAAAAGACATTTCGGAACCCCGACGAAACAACGTACTTTTCACCGAAGTTACACAAATAAATAATACCTAATAATAGAAATAATAATTTCCTGAATAAATATGTCACGCTGGATGTTTCACCACTAAGCTAAAAAAACAGGCTGATTGGTCAAAATGGATTACGTAACCCTGTCGTCTCTCTGTATCATACAAATCTGTTTAGTCTACTCTTTAAATATTCTGATCACTAATCCCGAATGTATCACTAAAATTACTCAGTTAAAGATATCGAGAGACGGTTTGTACTATTCTTTTGGGTGAAATACTTGTCAAAGATATTATGGAGCAGTACTGCGAGGCCCTGGAGGAGCTGGGAGGGATAAACCCCGCCTCCGACTCCGCCCTCTCCATCCTGAGACACGCCCAGCGGCACGGCGAGGACCTTAGGGCCAGCGACCTCATCGTAGGATGTCCGGTGAGAGCGCCTGTCCCAGATTGTGAAACTGTGAAACAAGTCCCAGTTTTAGTTTTCTCAGAGGGAAAGAAACTAACTTATCTAGATGAGGTCAGGCAGTTGGAAAAAGATGGAATTCAAATCGCTCCTAGACTCCAATATTTATAGATTTTTGTTTATTAAAAAGGAGAATTCCAAAAACATGTTTGACTGTTTAGGAATTCAAAATATCACAAATATTCTTAATCAAAATGCACTTCAAACTAATCTTCCGGTCTCCAAAGAAGCATTTATTTTTCAAATGTTTGCTGCTACTTCAAGACGTTGTGTTTGCTTGGTATGAAAACCAAGTGTATTGTGAACACGTTCTTGCATAAGAAAACACAAATACTTTTGAGTGTGTGAGGACTTAAAACCCCAGTGAAAATATTCACATACCATCCTTTCAGCTCTTAAAAATCATTTTGTTTTACTTCAAGCTATGAAAGTAACCAAAAACACAAATAGAGAAATCAGCCAATAAAAGTGGAAGAAATTACTAATCACTTCGGAGACACTTTGGTACACTCTTACAGTAATTACCGATTTCAAAACACAAACAAACAGCTTTAACCTTCATCAAAAAGTCAGAAAACACCACATCCACTTGCCCCATATTGTGCTACTCTGACACAGCAGTATCATTCAGGGCTAGTCGTGACAAACGTTTGACTCCCATGCACACACACACACACACACACACACACACACACACACACACACACACACACACACACACACACACACACACACACACACACACACACACACACACACACACACACACACACACACACACACACACACACACACACACAACTATCCTCCTCCCCTTTTCGAGCGAGGGGAGATTACAGCAGCACAAACACTCCCATTGAGCTACTTCAAATCGCTCTCCAAGTGAAAAGACCGTAAGTGCAGGTGTGTGTATGTGGGTGTTCATTACGTGTGTGAAGCATCACTTATGTCATCACACACACATATCTACAGGTTTAAATATATGTGTGTGTGACCGGTTGCTTCTAAATTATCAGTCATTTTTATTTAATCTGTGGATAAAGTTGAGAAAACGCTGTCTGGTTTCTGTCTATTTGTGTCCTTGCTACACTTGGGTCGAGTCCTCGGGGAGCGTTACATAAGATTGGACTTTTATCAACCTCCATCTGCCTCTGGTAGGATTTGCAACAACATGTCAAAAGTCCTGTAACCCTGTCATCGACTTGAACAATAAAGTCACATTTTGAACAAAAGACGTGAGTCAGCTGGCCAATTACAGCAGAGATCCAACAGACAGAAGCATCCCTGTGAAGGGGGAATGCAGCATGTCACCACGCAAGGCACTGTAATTATAATACCGCTTTGTCCTATTCTTTATTTTCTGGAGAATAAGGCTTTTCAGTGTGTGCAGCCGAAATGTCTCGCAACTGTAAATCAAAAAATGTGAGTAGGTGAGTGAGAAATGTGCTCGGAAACAGAGAAAGTGTGTTGTTAAAGCCTAAAGATGAAATAACCTCAGGTAATAAAGATGTCAAAAACGTTTGTGCTACTGAGAAATAAACATGGACGTACTGGCTCTTTAAAATGTTCAGAAAACTCTGCGATTGTTTTTACAAGCCACCAGATATTAATTAGCATTTTTTCAATATTATTTCTTCAATTAAATAAAAGTGGATGAGGGAAAAGTGAACTATTAAAACCTCCTGGCAAAAAAAAAGAAGACACATTTAAAACATAATTCAAGGCTAAATGGGCTCTTAAGATATAAATTAAGATGATATCTTTTGCAGATTAAAGCCCTGGGCCTGGGCCTCGGGCCTAGATAAGTGAATCAACGTGACAGTGTGTGTGTGTGTGTGTGTGTGTGTGTGTGTGTGTGTGTGTGTGTGTGTGTGTGTGTGTGTGTGTGTGTGTGTGTGTGTGTGTGTGTGTGTGTGTGGTGTGTGTGTGTGTGTGTGTGTGTGTGTGGTGTGTGTGGTGTGTGTGTGATGTGTGTGTGTGGGTGTGGGTGTGTGTTCAGATTTCCAGGGGTGACGGAGCGCTGCGATTTGGTGCGGCAGGGCGAGCCTGACGGTGTTGCGGGGGGCTCGGAGGAAGCGTACTGGCGTGAGGAACGTCTTTCCCTCTACCAGGCACGTCGTCATCTTCACCAAACAGAAGAGCGCCGGCCCGGGTGGGACGCCCGGCCTTCAGCTGCAAGCACAGCGATCAAGGTACACACACACACCACACACACACACACACCATACACCACCACACGTAACACGACACACACACACACCATGTATACATCACTTCAGGGGACTTACATTGATTTAATGCATTTCCTGGAGGACTAATCCGGTAACCATTAACCATTAACCACAATGCTTACCCTAATCCTAACCTAACCAAGTCTTCACCCTAAAATGAATGATTCCCCTTATGGGGATCTCCAATTTGTCTCCCATAAGGAAGGCGGAGTCTCCCACACGTGACTGGTGTTAAACAGATTTAGGTGCCCACAGAGTATAGCAATGCTAGGCCACACACACACACGCACGCCACGCACGCACGCACGCACACACACAATATTATATAAACACACCTCTCACACAAACACTCACACGATCATAATACCGCACCTCACACACAGACAGATATAAACACACCACAGATATACACACACCTCACACACACATATTATATATAAGCACCACACCCACAGATATAAATTACACATCACACACAGCAGACACCTCACACACAGAGTATTAGAACACCCTTCACACTCACACATAATATATATATAACACACACACACTGTTGCTACTTCTCTTTCCCCTCGTTGATTTTCAACTCAAAAAATGCTTTTCTTTAATTGTTCATATGTCTTGAGCGCTGCGGTTTGAAGGGATCTGAGAAACAATCTAATTTCGTGTACATATCTATTAATTAAAGTAAAGTCCTATTTCACTTGTTTTGCTTTAAATGTCACTTTTTCAGTCCTATTTTATCGGTGATGAAATGTTCCGTCATTGCCTCTATTTGTCTTTCTCGGGACTTTACATTGCTTACGCTTGAGATGTTGTGATGTGTTCTGTTCTTATGTTGACCTTTACCATTTCACAACAACATTTCTTAATTTGAACTTTTGTTCTTTCTTGTGAAGCAATTTTTGAATTCTATTTTCTCGTGAAGTTGCTATGCTAAATAAACACTATTCATTATTATTACTGTTATCACATGTTCCTCCTCTCCCCTGCAGACCGGGGAGATGGGTCTGGACTCAGAGCGTGGGGGGCGGACGGGCTGAAGTTTGAAGTGTGGGTGCCGTCAGGCTCCTCGAACAAGACTGCATCACGGCTGCAGGGCCAAGGACAGGGGAAGGGAAAAGTGGCTGGACTCAAGGACCATCGCCCACCCTGCTGTGGACTCCGCCATACAACAACACAGGTAGAGGCCTGACCTCTGAACCTCAGGAGGGCTCAGCCATAGGCTTCTCAGGCCCTTTTTAATAAAACGTAATCCACCCAAATTCCACCCAATATGGAATATGTCCATATTTTTCTTTCCTTACCTGACATGTGATGTTTTGGTGTTGTTTTGGTTTCTTTTTCCGTTAACCGTTAAGTGGGAAAATAAGTATTTTTTTTGTGTTTCTCTTAGTATCCCAAGATACTTTATGTTTTGGCTGTGAAAAAAAAAAAAAATACTTTATTATGAAGGGCTTCTTATTTGTATTTATTTGTGTTGTTTTCGAAGGGGCAGGTCCACTAAGATTTTATTCTTTCTCGCTGCTCTCGCTTATCGCTCAATGGCGGTATTTTGGTAGTCATTGTTTTGTGGCAATTATTGTGGTATTGGTTTTGCGTACCATGAGCGGGACAAATAAAATGAAATGGAATGAAACAAATTCACACAAATGTCTGATGAGATATAAACTGCCGACTTGGACTGGTTGAGTCAGAACAACTGCAAGGATATTTTTTTCCAAATTCAAGGCTTTTTGTCATTCGTACAGAGCTACAGTGTTATGTCGATCGGAAATCTTAGGTCCAGGCTCCTCCAACAGTGTGACACAATACAACAAATAGAAGCTAATGCAAGGATATGATTCTTGCAAACATTATTTGAGTCACCTGAGGTTCTTAAAAATATGTTTGACAGTAGTCTGTACATGTTTAAATATAAGTGGGCTCTCTCTGGCCAGAGTTAAAGACAATCTGATTCTTCGTTTTTTGGATCTGAATCTAGTTTTCTACTTATAGAAGCGGCCATTGTTGCCACGACACAAACAATAATTACCTGGATGTCTTCATCATTGTGGTATCTTAAAAAATATGTTACAATATTCTATGTGCCCAATACTGTAGTGATTTCTACAAAAATGGTTCCGTTTTGAGTTACAAGAAATATCCTTTTTTCTATGATTTCTTCCCCAGAGTTGTGTTCTGAAGGGAGTCGCTCTGCATGGGGATTTCCAGTAAGCTGCTGTGACGGGCGGACAGGAACTCCTGGACTGAACTGGATCCATTTCTACAGTCTCAATGACAGAGGTATAGGACAGGAGGGAAGACATCTGCTAACACAATGCAGATGCGAGTGTTGGAAACTACCAGGTAGAAAAAGCACTGATGATACATAGGGGTGGGAAAAAGAAAGGCATGTAAACTGACCTGGTATCTATAGGTATATCGCTAAATAACGTAATCTTTACATTGAGGATGTGATCATGTTTGGGAAAAGGTCTTCTTTTAATTTCGAAACGGTGTCTTCAGGATAGTTGTGTTCAGTCCAGATCAGATTACGGACTGTTTCAATTTGCTCTCTGAGCCGCGAGTGATGGCCAAAGAGATTACGACAGGGTGAACTAAAACGGTGCTGGTGTTTCTCCCATGTGACAAAGTAAAAGCGTACATATTTTTCAATCTGGACGCCCCCGGGCTATTCTATGTAAGTTTTTTATTAGTGCCTCGCGCTGAGGACATTTTGAAGAGCTCTGA